AAAAAAAAAAAAAAAAAAAAAAAAAAAAAAAAAAAAAAGAAAGTTGGAATTCAGCCGGGGCTAGAGACTCTGTCTAAACAGTATGCGTTGGTTCTCTAAGGATAATTAACATCAATACTCACCTGAATATCTCAGATGCAGCATAGCATATAGTTCTTTTCTTAACAGTGTCGGTCTTTTTAACTTAGGACAAGTGTAAAAAAACGTGTCTGTTGTGGATCTGACATGCCGACTGCAGAAACCTGCTAAGTATGATGACATCAAGAAGGTGGTGAAGCAGGCATCTGAGGGCCCACTAAAGGGCATCCTGGGCTACACTGAGGACCAGGTTGTCTCCTGTGACTTTAACAGTGACTCCCACTCTTCCACCTTTGATGCTGGGGCTGGCATTGCTCTCAATGACAACTTTGTAAAGCTCATTTCCTGGTATGACAATGAATTCGGCTACAGCAACAGGGTGGTGGACCTCATGGCCTACATGGCCTCCAAGGAGTAAGAAGCCCCGATCACCCACCCCAGCAAGGACACAAGAGCAAGAGAGAGGCCCTGCTGAGGAGTCCCTGTCCCAACTCAGCCCCTGACACTGAGCATCTCCTTCATGGTTTCCATCCCAGACCCCCAGAGTAGCGGGAGGGGCCCAGGGAGCCCTACTCTTGAATACCATCAATAAAGCTCACTGCACCTACAAAAACAAAACAAAACAAAACAAAACAAAACAAAACAAAACAAAAAACCCTGCCTTTAAAATCAGGGCTACAGAGATAGTCCCTGTTCCCCTCACTGTGGGAAACCAATTGGTTACTGAGCTACCACGGGCTTCATTCAGGCAAAGGTTCTAGGTTATAGCCATACATGGTCCTTGGTTGAATGTCAGTCACAGAAAAGACCCCTGTGCCCAGATATATTTGGTCCTTGTGGAGCTCCTATCCTTTCCACGTCATACTAACTCCCCTTCTGCCGCAGTCCTAGGGGGACTTTGCAGCCAGTCCTGAAGATACCTGATAAAACAGGGTCAGATGAAAGGGGATGAAAGTCCTCCCCAATCCGTGGACTTGGAAAGGGGCAGGGAGGAGATGAGGGAGGAAGGATGGGATTGGGAGGGAATAAGGGAGCGGGATACAGCTGTGATACAGAGTTAATAAAATGTAACTAATAGAAAAATAAATAAAATTTAATTTAAAAAATCACGGCTACAAACGTTGAAAGAATTTGAATGAACAGTGGTCATTCTCTATAATGTTACCTGCCTGTAGGTTTTCAGATTTCACCATTTGTTTTGAACAACAAACTAGTATGTTATCTGGTATGTTCTCTGAGGAAGACTATTCTCCTATAGTCAGCATTTCTTAGATGCCTATAGCTCTTTGTGTATTTGGAAGTGTGTATGTCTGTGTATGAATGTGTGTGTGAATGTGTGTTTGTGTGTGAGTGTGAACATGTGTGTAAGAGAGAGTAACAGCAAATAATACAAAGCACAGACAATGAATCTGAAAAAAAACATAAAGGGCTATATGGGAGGGCTTGGATAGATGAAAGGAAAAAAGAAATGACAAAATCATATTATAATCTCAGGACCCGTGTAAGATGATCAATCCTGAATTAGAAAGACAAATGGGATGGACACTGGATGTAGGAGAAAACAAGTAACAGAACAGGAGCCTCTTACAGAGGACTTCTGAAAGACTCTACCTAGCAGTGTATCAAAGCAGATGCTAAGACTCATAACCAAACCTTGGGCAGAGCTCAGGGAATCTTATGAAAGAAGGGGGAGTTAGTAAGATGTGGAGAGGAAAAGATCTCCCCAAGGACCAAATATATCTGGGCACAGGGGTCTTTTCTTAGACTAATTCTCCAACCAATGACCATGCATGGATAATACCTAGAACCCCTGCTCAGATGGAGCCCATGGTAGCTCAGTATCCAAGTGGGTTACCCTAGTAAGGGGAACAGGGACTGTCTCTGACATGAACTCATTGGCTGGCTCCTTGATCTCCACACCCCTGAGGGAGGATTGACCTTGCTAGGCCACAGAGGAGGACATTGAAGCCAGTCCTGAAGAGACCTGATAAGCTAAGGTCAGATGGAAGGGGAGGAGGACCTCCCCATCAGTGAACTTAGGGAGGGGCAAGGAAGGGATGAGGAAGGGAGAGTGGGATTGGGAGGGAATGTGGGAGGGGGCTACAGCTGGGATACAAAGTAAAGAAACTGTAAATATTATAAAAAATTAAAATTTAATAAGAAAATAATGATCCAAAGCAAAAAAGAAAAAGAAACTGATAAATAATAACAAATTGTGCCATTGTTTAAAAAAATAATCTCAAGAAATAGAAAAAATTCTCATTATATGAAATAGAAAAAGTACTCACTCATTACATGGACAAGAGAGATGACTCAGTGACTAACTGCTTTTCCAGAAGGTCCCCATTGGGTTTTCAACACTTATGTTGGGAGAATAACAACAACCTTTATCTATAGCATCATGTAATCCAACAGCCTGTTGTCTCCATAGACAACTGTACACTCATGATATATATATACACACACAAACAAAGTAAAAATAATGATTCTAAAAAATGCTCATGACAGTGCTAACTATCAGAAAAAATGCAGTTCAGGTTTTTTTTTTTTATGTGATTTGTGAAAACATTCATGATGAATGAAACTATAATGTTTGGGTTAATATTGCCTATTTACACTGAGTAACAACTAAAATGCATGTGTACTTTCAATTATTGACATTGCGTGCACAAAGAAAATCAAATATAGCTAAGTAGAGAGGCAGACTAACAATTTGCCACCTTAGGGGCTCATTCATATTCTAAAAGAACCACCTTTAGTTTTAAATTTAAGAATGTTTGTAAAAGTGACTTTTATTCTTCTGATTTCATTGTTGTCACAGAGACTTAATTGCCTCCATCTGCTAACTTAGGCCTAGTCCTAAAGTTTCCAGCCTCTGTGCAATATAATCTAGGCCTAGAATGTTTTCGTCTTCTGAGAGTTACTGCTGAATAAACTCACCCTTTCTCATTCTCTCTGAACTCTGGCTGTGTTGTTCAGCTCAGATGTTCTGGATCAAAACGCCACCCCAAGCTGATTGACTCAAACTGGTTTCTCTTGGCTTCTGACTGAACTACTTGGCTTGGGTTCATACTAACTTTGGCAAAATGTTCTAATCTGGCTCCTTTTTATTCTTTGTTTCTTTCACCAACCTCTCTCTGTAAAACTGTCCTGGTAAAACTGCCTCCTCTCTCTCTCACTCTGCACTGTTCTCTCTCCTAAGTCCCCTTTTTCCTGTCTCTTCTGGTGAAAGTTTGGTGTCTTTTATCTTTGACTATTCTGTCAAACCTCTCTGTGATTTGTCACTTTGTCTGCCCCTCAATTACACATCACTTTCAAGCATTAGTGCTTCTTTCTACAAACTAACTTTGTCTTCATTATTTGGGATTAAAGGCATGACTATATTTCAGCCAGAGAAATTAAGGTGTATGGCATATTTTCATTCAAGCCATATCACATAGACCTAGGTCTTAAGATGTGATCTGCCATAGTAGCCATGTTTCTGGAATAAAATTCCTTAACAAATATTGTAAACAAAAACCAGTTTTGTGGAAGTAAATTCAAACTAATTACATATGCACAATCATATATTTTGCAGTCTCAGATGACCATGTTATTAACTGTATTATTATCATTACAAAATGAATGTTTTTGAAACAGTTTTGTTCTATGTTGCTGTGACAGAAACAATGACCAAACAAACTTGCAGGAGGAGCAGAGGCAGAAACCGTGAAGGAATGCTGCTTACCAGCCTGCTATAATTAGCTACAGTTCTTCTATCGTCCAGTACCACCTGCCTGTGGATGGTATTTTTCATAGCAGCCTGGGCACGCTTACTTTAATCAACAATCAATAAAATACCCACAGACTTGTGATTAGACCAGGCTGATAGAGGCATTTACTTAAATGAAGTTATCTTCTTCTAGGAAACTCTAATTTATGTTGAGTAGACAAAAGATAACCACCACAATCATTGTATATATTTTGCTAATGGGGGCATGATTTAAGTACTGAAATTAATTCTAAGGCATTATGTGCTGATGTTGTGTTGCAGGACTGAAATTAAAAGCTTACTGAGGATGTAAAATTTGGACTGTTTATCCACAAAATCTATCTATTTCTTGACCTATTTTACTATCCTGCAAACATTTTTCTAAACAATTTTATTCATTGCATCTATGTTGAATAGACTTATAAACAGAGTAAATTTTGTTTGACTTATCAAATAAAGTCAGATTCCACTGTCAACCCAGTGTGCATGCTGAGATCGCACCACAAAGTCAGTGTCATGAGAACGTGCAACATGTAAGCACTCATCCTCACCATTTAGCTCTTTTTTGCGACATCATTTCTGGACATGTACCACCTGCCTTGCTCAACTTTCCACTGAATAGTTTCTAAATATATAAGGGAGATTATCCATCACGTGTAGGGTAACCTACACTAGTATTAGTTTATTAGTAGTATTGAGACTGTGTTTCATGTAGCCCTGACTAGACTTCAGTTCCTTACATAGCAGATGACCTTGAACTACTCATTTTCATGGCTCCACTGTCCAAGGGTTCACATTATAGTCATACATCATTCCCAGTTCATGGGATGCAAGGGTAGACACCAGGACTTTGTGCTCCCTTGGCAAGTACTTTATGAACTAAGCTACATCTCTAAGCTGTGATGCCATTTTTATGGAAGCTCATAATAATCAAAACAAGATAGGAATGTTTCTGCTATGAGCATATCTAACCCAACCCATGATATCAGCAGTGTTATGTATATTTTTTAAACAAAAACTGCGGTTATGCAAGGTTTGTTTCATCATCATGCAAAACAATCCCTCTTTTACATGTTGTAATATATATATAAAAATCCAAAACTCATCTCAAGGTTTTCCTCAGACCTTTGTCTGCTTAAGTCATTCCTCAGTATTGAGCAAGTCGCTGAAGAAAGAGTGTGAGAGCTTATGTAATTAAGGACTTTTCATTAGCCCCTCACCTCACCTCATTATAACATGCATTTCCTAAACATTTCATTTGTGTCTGCCATTTTGACTAGATTATACTTTCCTGAAAGCATCTGCCTTTAGCATTTTCTCAAGGATTAGTGGTACCCCATCTTTTTAATATACCACTAAGCTAAAATTTTACTGTTCTTGCCATTTCCTGAGCTGTCCTTTTTTTGTTTATGAATATAATTTTGTCTGTATACAAGGCTACATCAAAAACTGCAGGTCATATTTAAACATGTGTATGCACACACACACTTGTGCGTATGTATTTGCATATATATGTATGTGTAACTTATGTATATCTATATTATATATACAGTGTGTATGTATGTATTTATGTTACAGTTACTGAACATAAGGCCATGAATTTGAAGAGAGCAAGGAGCTTTATACTGCAAGTTTCGGGGGAGGAAATTATAATATCAAAAATAATATAATTTACAATGTTTAAAAGCTCATTTTCCTGCTGTCAGAAGTCTCCTAATTCCTGAAAAAGTCTTTTACTGAGGGTAAAAAGTCAGATATGGTAAAAGCATGAAAGGGCAGAAATCTTACATAGTAACTGCTTATATGAAATGGGCAATTTGAGAAGCTTCTGATAAAG